CATGTTTATCTGTATGTATTTTTGTAATATTTGTTATAATTATTTCTTTCTTCTATACTTTAACTCTTTATTTATTTGTATATTTTATTTAATTCCTACAATACTTTATTGTTAACTATTCTTACTAGAGTGACCACAGTAAATCCGTGAAACTTTAGTAATACTAAATAGCACAATTTCATGCAAATTCCATTGTTTTCTATTGTTTAACTATACCGACAATCACAGGTTCCCTGGTTGTTATCATCATGTAGGACTGTGAGGGACTTGATTCGAATCAAAATATGCTAATCATTTAACAATTAAATGCATATTAATTGGCCGTCCTTTTGAAGCGTGTGAACGAGTGCTAGAGCAGTTTTCGTATGACTGCGAAAAGCTTCTCGTACCGTGACCGTGATAATTTCTAGAATTTTAATTAGCTGATTTTTTTTCCTCACGCAATGTGATTGGTCTGCCAGGGTTATGACATTGGCTCGACTGTGTCCACGCTGCGTTTGTACCGTGTTTCGGGCATTTGATTGGATGGAGACTAAATTCTCACGCAATGTTATTGGTCTGGCGTATGCCTTGCCGTGTCACGCCGTGTTCGTGCCGTGAGTTTTTTACAGTCATACGAAAACTGGTCTAACTGCTAACCGACATACAGTAGGGATACTACAGTAAGACAGAGAAAGACAGACAGACAGAAACTGAGATGAAATAAGATAATGAAAGATTAGAGACAGACAGATGGACACAGGGAAAGAGACAGGAAGGGCTGATCCAGGATTTTTGATGGGGGGGTTACGTCATTTTTGACGTCAAACATACGCTATACCAGTCGTAAAGACATACACATGTGTTGCTACTGGATACGGCTCTTGAAGAGGAAAACAACGAATTGTATAGGGAAGGGAGTTCCGCAACCTCTTGGTCCCTCGCCCGGATCCATCCTTGGACAGACATAGTTCAACAGAGAAATAGACAGACACACAGACAGAACGGCCCATAAAAAATGCCTCACGAACAACAACACCTGTCTGAATATTCTTTTATTCTATAGAGTACCTATCTATGAATCCCAGTATTTCAAATGGTGAGAAAAACTTTATTGAATCTAACTCGTTCGTATGAATTAATGTAACACTCCTGTTTAAAGATACTATATAACTCCGATTTGAATGCCAGGCATCCTGTTGAAGCTTGACTCTTATTTCAATTTGCTTCCCTTCGACTTCTCTCTCTTAGCCAAGGTTTCCGTTGATGACTACTGAGCTCTCCATCCTTTCTCCTCTGCGCGTAACTTGAAGAAAAAAACGTCAATGGTATTCGCCTCGTCTGCATATTCCTCGGATTATTTTTTTAGCAGCTAAGCGCATTTCTTCGATTCTCCAGCAATAAATTAAAGGATTGATAACGCTATTGAACATTGCTATTGTTACAGCCATCGCGAAAAATACTTCCATGTTCTGAGTCTTTGCTACGAAATTCAAACCAATCATTTTTACAATGTAAAGAACGTAGCACAAAACGAAAGCTCCAACCACGTAATAAATCGTATTCACCGATTTTTTGTACCTAGGAATGTCTATAGCTTGTTCTACTGATCGTTCTTGAGCTTGTATTTGAAGTGAGTGGCTTCGAACGATTCGAGAGATCTTGAAAAGAAGACATATATTGAGGAATAGTATGCTGCAAAGAATAGCCGTTAAAATGTTGAAAAAGATTTGAATTTTGTAAAAGTCTTTCAAGGCAATATTAAATGAGCAAACAATCCAAATTAAAACTAGTGCAATGCTATGTCGTTTAGTCGTTACGAGCTCGTTATAGCGTAGATGGAGTTTGATCGCCAAGAAACGGTCTACAGTGATGGCTGTTACAGTCAGAAACGAAACCGATGTTAAAACATAACACGAGCAGATAAAAAGAGTGTCAATAGCTTCTGTCAAGCGAGCATCGCCTTTAAGTTGGACCAACTTTAAAACGCAAAAAAGCGGTTGAGCTACGACCCCCACGCCAAAGTCAGAGACGGCTAGACCAAGAATAAGAATATTTGAAGGCACTTCTCGTAGAGACGGCGTTTTTGCGAAGGTAACGATGATCATGAGATTCAAAATAGTCGTAACGAAGGACAACACTCCATTAATAGATATCGTCATTAGGATAAGGTTTCTGTAGTGATAATCATGAAGTGTTTCAAATTCAGTCTTCAATGAAGGTGTTGTTACAAAGGGCCTCGAGAAGTTGTTCTGCATTTTAAAAACTCTTAAAATATATGTGCTTTAAAGTCCAATAGTCAAAAGAGTTCCAGTAGCCACTAGTCCCGTTGATTCAGAATAAACATCGCATCTGGTATGAGGGAGTTCACTTCAGAATACACTTTTTTTTACAATACAAACGGAATAGACCAGGCTTACTCAAAATCGATCATTATTTGCATATTAGCCGTTGAACAGCCCATCAACGAAGAGAATAAGGACGGCAGATCAATTTAAGCGAAAATAAAACTTATTTATACATGTTGATTGCATTGCTGTGAGCAAACACACCTGCCCTGAGTTGAGATAAAATCATTAAACTGCGAAAGCCTGTCTTGAACTGCGGAGACTGCAAAACTGAGCCACTCTTTCCGAAAAAAATTTAATACGATAGTCCAATTAATGTCCAATAGTTAAAGAGTTCCAGTAGCCACTGGCAGTTGATTCAGAATTAACATTGCATYTGGCAAGAGAGAACATTCACTTCAGAATACTTTTTTTTTACAATATAATGTAAACGAAATAGATTAAGGCTCACTCGAAACATTATTATTTGCATAACAAGTTAAACTTTACCATAACAGCCTATCAATACAGCGTAAATAACCGTCAACTGAAGTGAATTAGAACTTATTTATTAGTCGGGTTGCTGTGAACAAACACATCTGTCTTCTGAGTTCAAGGTTGAATTATTAAACTGCAAACACTAGCAAATACGAGCACCTTGAATTGGTGTGTAAATTTACATCTCATAGGACAGTAAAAAAGTTCGTATTCATTTTCAAAAGAAAGAAAGAAAGAAAGAAAGAAAGAAAGAAAGAAAGAAAGAAAGAAAGAAAGAAAGAAAGAAAGAAAGA